CTCAGAAAAAAAATATGTATTTCAAAATGATAAACTCAAATAGTTCTAAGCAAAATATAGGAAAAAATTAAGTAAAAACCCAAGCATATAAAAACTATAGTCAAGCATGGTGACACATTCATTTAATCCCAAGGCTGGAAGACAGAGGCAGCTCTGTGTGCTTGAGGTCAGCCTGGCCCACAGTGAGTTCCACAAGAGTCAGGGCTACATACGAAGAATCTACCTCAAAAACATCAAACAAGAAATATAAAATGCTAGGTAAAGGGCACTCAACAGCAAAGGCAAACAAACTCTTCAGTAATAAAGATGGATGGCCTTAGAAGAGATTGCTGTGGAGCCCTAGGTTTCGGACCTAGTGTTGAGAGATTTTCATTCCTTCCCACCTTTTTCTTTTCTTTCCTTTTGACCCAGGGTTTCTCTGTGTAACAGACCTGACAGACCTGGAACTCACCAAAATCCACCTGCCTCTGCCTCTGAGTGCTGGGATTAAAGGTGTGTGCCACCACACTGCTTTCCAATGGAACATTCAGTACACCAAGTAGGAAATGACCCCATTTCCTTCCTCAGGAGCCATACGAAATGAAAAGGGGAAGAAAGCCTTTTGGTGAAAAAGCTGTGCAAATTCCTAGTTCTCTTTCTCCTTTGGGGGGGGGAAAAAAAAAACACACAACCCACATCTGGGAGAAGTCCTTTCATAACAAGACCCTTAAAAAAAGCATAACTGGACCCCAAACACAGACAAGTATAGAATCTTAATATACAGCAAAATTGTCACATCTCAAGAATGCATTAAATATAACTAACCTAACTAAGCACCGTATCTCAGCTGATTCTACCTTAAACTTGCCTGTGGTTAGAAGAAAAATCTAACACAAAGCCTAGTTTATAATGAGGTGTGGACCTCTCTCTCACTCACACAGGTGAGTGTTTCACAGTTATAATGGGACTTTAAAACACAAACACATTCAAAATGCAACAAAAGCCTGCCCACGCAGAGTGTGTGCATCACTGGTTGCCAACCGTGACTGGCTGAGCATGGGCTGGGGTCCAAGCGCACTCTGTATCATAGACTATGGATCAACTTTGCCCCAATCATGAGTGGAACAAACCCAGGCTGAAGTACTCAGAGCATCTGATACAGTGCAGACTGAGCAGAGATGGCCAGGGACAGACCTCAGAGAAATGCAGACAAGGTGGAAGTAAGCAGGACTGGAATACACATACAGAATCCAGTTCAGCAATAGCAAAGTTGAGAAATGCCAGAAAGTACATTTAGTTGGCAACTCACACAATAACCTTCTTAGAACAGCACAAAAACACTACTAGAAAAAAAAAAAAACAAAAAAAAAAAAACCTTATCAACACATGAACACTCCTCCAGAGTGAAATGAACCAGCCAGTGGTGACCCATGCATTTAATACCAGCATTTGGAGGCAGAGGCTGGCAGATCTCTGTAAATTCAAGGCCAGTCTGGTCTTCTCTGCAAGATAGTAGCAAGCCTCAGGTACATCTCACTACCAGACTCCATAAAAGGAAGAGCAACCCTCATTCTAAATTGCTCTAAAACAACTGCTCTTCAGATATTTGTCTGAAAGTAAAACTTGATGCCATTGAAAACCTCAAAAGCAGCACCGCTATCCAACAGATTGTGTGCAGATGGTGGACTGTGCTATCTGAAATGAGCAGGGCAGCCACTAAGTACGAACAGCAAGCACTTGAGATGTTGAATGAGAAGTTGGCAGAATAGTCACACATGGTTAGCGACTTTTGTGTTAAGACACCACAGACACTGAGCATCAACTTCCTATCACTGTTTCCAAAAGCGATACCTGGATCCCAAGGATAGCTATGTACACCACCTGGTGACACCTTGGAAGGAATTACAGGCCTGTGTCAAAGCAGCCAGGTGATTGGTGGACATGGTAAGCACTGAAAAGCACAGGTCACTGCTTTCAGGAGTGACACTAATTAAGGGAACTTAAGAGCAGTCACTGACGGATTAATTTTTAGTAATGAAAATCCATACACTCACTGGGAAAGGACAAATGACATTCAAGCGCCTTCCCAGAAATGTAGTATAAGTAGCTTCTAAAGAAACCAAACCAAAATCCCCAGTTTGGAGACAGACACCACCGACACCCACATATTTTCTGCACAATGTGTACCCCCAAATTTCCAGCAATATCACATGTAAATTGAGAAGATCTATCACTGTACGTCTCAGTGCCCATTGCCATTTCAGAGTAGCTACATTCAACAGTTGTCATGGTGACACAGACAGTAGGGTATACTGAAATTACTATTATGTACTTGCCAGAGATAAAATCTTACTAATTAAAGCCCCATTATTCTACTTTTCCAACAGGGAATCCCCCTACCCCAAATAAAAGCAGGTAAGGCTGGACATGGTAGTAAATGTCCTTATTCCCAGCATTCTGAGGAAAGAGGCAGACCATCTGAGTTCCATGACAGCCAGGTCTCTAAAGGAACAAAAAAAGCAGGCTAGGAAGGTGTGCTAATACACTTGTAATCCCAACACTCAGAAGGAAGGCCCGGGAAGGAGGATCACATTAATGCCATTCTGAATGCGCTGAACCTAACCCAAAAAGGAAAATAAAGAAAACCCAAAAGCCAAAACAGGCAATAATCAAGTTCTACCATTTATAACTTTCATTCCAAGTCAGCATTTTACTTTTTACAAATGGGTTGCTGGGCAGAACCACTGATGTATTTACTGCCACATGGACCAGGGAGCCTTAACTTGAGAATACAAACCATGGTACAGCTTTGTATCTACTGAACTCCTCATAGTTTTTTATAGAATTAAGTTATGTTACTCTAAGCCTGGCCATGCCATGATTGAGAAGACACATTGTTTAGGAGTTCAGCACGTTCAGAATGGCAAAGAAAAATATTGCCTTCCATGTGCAACAAGAATGCAAGATTATTAAACAATTCTAGTAAATGGCTTGTGTTCAAAGAAAAACCATCCACATGTACACACACATACAAGAGTACTTAATTCTTCTTGCAGAGGACCCAATCGGTTCCCAGCATTCAAGTGATGGCTCTCAACTGTCCAGCTCCAGATCCAAGGGATTAGATGCACTCTGCTGACCTCTCAGGCATCTCTCTCTCACACACACAGAGAGAGAGAGAGAGAGAGAGAGAGAGAGAGAGAGAGAGAGAGAGAGAGAGAGAAAGTGTCCATATATATATTCCAAAAAGGAAAACAAAACAAAAATCCACCAGTTGTGGGATCCTCCCACAGTGGGACTTCTCTAGACCCAATGTTAGAGCTGAGACACTCCAGTAAACCAGGCCTTTTATGTTTTTGTTTGTTTGCTTTGTCAAGAAGACACTTTTTGGTACAGCCTTGACTATCAGGGAATTAGCTGTGTAAACCAGGCTGTTCAAGAATTTAAGAGCTCCGCTTGCCTCCTCCTCCCAGTGCTGGGATTAAAGGCATATGCCAAAACAGCCCCATTTAAATAAGTAACAAAACCTTCAATTTCAATAAAAGCTATTTGTAGAACTTAGTGGAGACTCTCATTCATTTTGAATGCCTGTTTTAAAACTGTCTTTACAATAGTGGCCTAGTACATCCTGTTCTAGCATATGGGTTCTGACAGAAAAGCAACAGGCAAGTGAACTGTGTAACTTTTGAGAAGTAATGATTTCGCACATGCATAGCGCCTCACTGCTTCCACCAGTGGACCAATCACAGGTCTCCAAGGCTACAGCTTACCCTGCCCAGTAGAGGGTTCACAACAAGCAGGGCACAACAGAACCAAACTTTACACCCAGCCCATTAGCTGTACAGGCTGACACCAAAGGCAGTAAAATGGAGAAGCATTTTATATGCCCAGCTTACTAGCTGAATATAACTGATGAAATTTAACTGCAGCCTGTTAGATGGGCTCCTCTTCTGGAAGAACATGATTAAGGGTCACTGGAAGCAAATTCTAGGCCTCAGATTCACACTTCATGTCTGACAAAAGCTTAAATGTTATTTAATTGTCAATGCATGTTTCTTTACTTGTACAATGGAGAAATGACACCTGTATCTATCATGCAGGCCAACGTACATGTGAAGTGACTACAGTAGTATATAAGTGTTGTGGTTATTAACTCCTATATAGTATACATCAAATGCTTCTGTGGGGTTGTTAATTCATCCATTCCAATGCTGAGGGATAATCTTTTTATACACTATACAGATGTGTCTCTGCCTAAGACATCTTCTGACTGGTTTAATAAAGAACTGGATGGTCAATAGCTAGGCAGGAGAGAATAGACAGACTTCAGAGCAGGAACTTAGGGTTTGAATCTAGGCACATAAGAGACACGGAGGGAGTTGGACATACACAACGGAGGGAAGCTACAGGGAAGAACGTAAATTAACAGAAACAGATTAATTTCAGCTATAAGAGATAACTGGGAACAGGCCTCAGCTAAAGGTCAAGCTTTCATAATTAATTTAATAATTTTGGGAGCTGGTGATCCCAAAATCCATTAAGACTGGTTATATTACTATTTACCCATTATAAATCATTTCAATTTTCTATTACAAAAATACATCCTACTGAAAGTTTTAAACTTTACAACTATATTTTATGATTCTTTCTACAATTCTTAAAAGTTGATACTTCTTACAAATGAACCATATCCTACAACATGAGCATTCATCTCTAATAGATACTATTAGAATACTATTTGTTGGTAACAAAGTCTCATCACCAGCACTTTCGTGACTACACATTCTACCATCACCTTCAGGTGCCCCACCTGCACCTCATACCCACAAGATAGCAATGAATGCAGCCCAACACAGATCACATCATGTTGCAATATCAAAAGATGAACATCCCTGAATGATCCACACTTACAGTAGACATTAGATACAGAATGCTGAGATTATGAACATTGCTATTTCTAGAACACTGAACAGGAACTGTTTGGGACACCAAGACATCTTAAAAGTCTGTAATAAAAGCAATGCTATTGATTCCATATTTATTTTAGAAGGATCTTTATCAAGTTCATCAGTGTGAAAAGGATGATTTCATAATAACCACTTAAAGACAGCATTTCTCTCTCTACTAGTGATTTTCATTCTGCTACCATAGTTCAGCTCACCCTTGCGTCTACAATAGTCACGCCTCATTTCATAGGATCTGAACTATACAATTGTGTATTGCAGACAATTGCTTGAAAATGATACAAGGAAAGAATAGATCAAGATTTCAAAGTTTACAGAAAACCATACTGCAACAATTGACCAATATAAACAGCTCTTAATACTTGTTTATTCTGTTTCATTCAGATAATAACACTAAGATCCTAACACACATTCCCCTATACTCTCCTTAAGCTAGTTTTCTGGTCTTTAAGTAAAAACATCTCCAAGTCAACAATTAGTTTTCTAGCCACCGTTCTTATCAAATGGTGATACACCAAAATCCCAATTCTCATGAATTTTAACATAGTCAAAGTACATTATTTAACCTAAGATTGAAAACTGTGCCTTAACTTTATTAAAAAAGATAGCCACATCAGTTTAACTACATGTGATACTACCTATTCAATTTATTAAAAATTGTAGTAAACATAATAATAAACTAGTGCTCCAAACTTAGGCTGTGCACGGGGAAGACACTATAAGAAGACACAAGAGACTGCCTTGGCAATATGAAGTACAGATTCCTTCTACAGAGATGGAGAAATAAAAGGACAAATCTAGTTGTCTAAAAGACAATTCACTGTACACATTTTATTTACAGTTTTGTACACTGTCTTAATATGAATGGGACCGCTTTTCTACTTGAGCCATTTGTAACCAAAGCAAAATAACCTAAGTAATACAAAGTGTTAAAGTACAGCATAAAGATACAAAAGCAGACATACTAATTCTAGATAGGAATGTAATTATGGTGTTACATTTTTATAGTCCACAATTATGTTTAGGGATCACACAGACATAGATCACTGATTTGAATGAAATGCATAAATTTGTAGCAAAGCTTTGTAGTTACAAAAAAACAAAAAATTACCAAAGAATGCACAAATTTAATGTTTATTCCACCTTTCTGTCATATTCCTGGATCCTTCACCAATGTTACATGCGGAAAAAACAAAAGCAAAACAAATGAAAAACTGAAATCAGAATCACTAATGTTATCAAGGAGGGAAGCAAATAAATTAAACTCTAGCAGCCATCAGCAAGAGGACAGCAAGGAGAATGCTGGGAAAGGAAATGAGGTTGCTGGAAAACTGTACTCAGACTCTCACCAGCAAAAACACGCTCCTGCACGGAGTGGAACAGAAACAGGTCTTTTCCTGCTAAGGTAACAGAAATGCAAGTTCTTTTTCGAATACTGTGGAAAGGCAAATGTGTGTATCATGGTAATTCTAACCAGCTGTTACAGTGCGGGCCAGGAACACATCTGCGAGTTTTGGGGTGACGGATACTGTAATTCTTTGATTGGGATAGTGGACACACTAGCAAAAATTGGGGGGTGGGTAAGAAATGAACACAGAGGTACAAGACAAAGGCGAATGAGACTTCTCTTATATCTTAGCAACAAAAGATGGAATCAAACTTCAGTGCAGTCCACTCTGCTTGGACGAGGCTTTGGTTCAGCTCCCAGTCTCGATTGCGTGACGCAGTCTCCTGTGAGAATACTCAGGTGTCTTCTTAAACAACAAACCTATTTTTAGTGGTGGAGCCGCTCTTCGTAGCTGTGTCTGCGTGGGACTGGTAACCAATCACTATCTTTGGAGGAAGTCCTAACCTTTCCTTGTATACCCTCCTAGAAGACAAAGGAAACAAGGCCTTCAACAACTCTTCCTCAAAAAAAAAAAAAAAAAAAAAGTTTAAAAAGGTATTTGATAAATTCATCATATGTTAGTCTTTACATGAAAAATGCTCACTCAGGAAGCAAAACAAAAATTGACTCATTTTATTTCAGTATAACTAGCAAAATTAAAAATTAGCATATACTTTCAACCATACTTAAGTCACTTTATAAACATTTACAATCCCACCAGGTCTATGTAGGGTACTACAATTATTAGTATTAAATAACTAGTATACAATGAAGGATCAGTCCATGAGCTCATAGCACTTGTATTTTACAAATCAATAATAAGTAACTATGATGAAATAGTCACACATGTACTTCACATATTTAAAGTAAGTAATATGCACATATCTCCTTCATTCCTCTATCTAAAAAAGTAAAACTAAGGTGGGTGTATTGTCATAAGCCTGGAATCCCAGCATCCGTTAGATTAAGGCAGGAAAAGGCCAGCTTGCTTTACATGGCAAGACACTATCTCCCAAAAAAAAAAAAAAAATCAAAATTGATATTTTACATATGAATTCTATTAAGCCTATGTACTAACTTCTAACTTCAGAACCCAATTTTCAAATTAGTTGTGACTTCTTTAAGAACAAATGTGGTGTGTACTAAACAAGGTTAAGTATGTAAATATGAGTTCAGAGGATCTGACATGAAGTATTAAGAATAATCTTTCCTTAAAGCCCAATAGGTGGCTGAGCTTTGTGGCACACACCTTTAATCCCAAGCACTTGAGAAGCAGAGGCAGGTAGATCTCCGAGTTGGAGGCTACCTTGGTTTCATAGTGAATTCCAGGACAGCTAGGGGTATGTAGAGATGCCGAATCAAAATAAATGGACGGATGGACAGACAGACCAATGTCAAGGAACTAAGTTTAGCTGGGCTTCATTCCCTGAAGATTAAAGACTAAGAAGAAACAACAAAAAGCTACAGAAAAAACAAAAGCCTGAAAATGAGCACAGAAGCTCCTTGTTAATCTTACAAATCTGAATTTTTAATTCCTAGGGAAAAATACCAAACACTCAAAAATGAGCAGAAAGACCTAATTTTAGAGTTTTACATTCCAGAATTTAACTTCTAAACAGGTTATGTTATTTTATTTTTGGGGGGGAGGGAAGCTGTCCTGGAACTCACCAGGCTAGCCTCAAACTCACACGAGATCCAACTGCCTCTATTTCCCAAGTACTGGGATTAAAGGCTTATGACACCACTGCCCAGCTTATTTTTTGAAATAACTAATCTGGTAACTAGTATGAGAAAAACACTGAAACAGAATAATATACACTTTACCATTAAAAATGTATTTACAAAATAATAATAAAAAGGCAAGGAGTTGAAGTGTACCAACTGGCAGTGTACACACATACACACAAAAAGTATTTTCAGCCTGGCTGTGGTGGAACACATCTTTAATTCCAGCACTCAGGAGGCAGGCAGATCTCTGAGTTCAAAGTCAGCCTAGTCTACATAGCAAGTTCCAGGACAACTAGGGCTACAGAGAAACAGTCTTCCAAAAAAAAAAAAATCCTCAAAAAAACAAGAGGTTAAAATGTTTCAGGTTTCGTCAGGCAATGGTAGCATTGAGAGGTAGAGGCAGGCTGATTTCTGTGAGTTTGAGACTAGCCTGGTCCACAGAGCAAGTTCCAGGACAGCCTCCAAAGCTACACAAAGAAACCTTGTCTCAAAAAAACAAAAAATAGTTTTAAACATTCAATATCAACAGAGCCCAAACTTCTAAATGTTCATGAAAACATTCACAAAGAAAGTAACAGTTTATAAACTCCCAAATTTCTAAAGCTAGATGAAAAAGACTTCTAGATTTAGTTAATAATGTCAAAGTCAAAAAAACGCACCCTATGTGTGTGACTGCGTCTCTGTTTTCACACTCAGTCGTCCATATTGCTATCTTATCACCTTTAGCTCTAACATTAACAACAGCTCCACATACATCATCACTGTAGTCATCAAAAGATTCTCCAATAAGGCACAGCAGCTGAAAAAAAAAAATTCAAATTAAATTAAACATATCAACAAAAAGAAAAGCAAGTTCTCTTTTCTAGGTGCACTTTATAAAACTAAAGCATCTCTTAAATCAAGAGCTCACTTCTTAAACTGGCCAGGCAGAAACAGTACTGCCAAGTTTGAAGCCATCTTCATCTACAGAGACAAAAACAAAGCAAATGAATAAAAAGAAATTGATCCTTAATTTTTTATTGTTGTTGCCATTGTGGAGGTGATGACAACAGGACAAACAGGTAATGGCAAACCAAGGAAGAGGACACCTGGCATCTGGCCCTGCCCTTCCATCCCATACAGGTTCTGAGAACTAAACTCAGACTTGGCAGCAAGCACTCCCACCCATGGAGCCACAGACCAACTTAAAAACTGACATTTAGCCAGGCAGTGATGGCACATGTCATTAGCAAGATGACTGAAATAGCTACTTATGCTCCCATTTAATTGCCATGTTCTACCACGTTTAACATTGCTGAGCAACTGCCACTAGAATCTACAGCCATAACTGTTTTTAACTTACAAAACTGAAATGTCCTTTTCCTATGGCAGTGGCTCTCAGCCCATGAGCCATGTCCCTTTTGGGGACTGAACAACCCTTTCACAGGGGTTGCCTAAGACCGCCTGAAAACTGCAATCCATAGCAGTAGAAAAACTACAGTTATAAAGTAGCAACAAAACTAATTTTATGATTGGGGGTTAATACAACATGATGTATTAAAGGGTTGCAGAATTGGGAAGGTTGAGAACCACTGTCCTATAGGATTCCAAAAATGCTATTTAATCATTCTCCTCCAAAAGCATAATTAAGTTTTTGCTTTAAAATATTACTGATGACACACATATAGTAAGTGCTTATTTATATAGTGAATGCTAACTATAAATCAGATATTGAGTCTAAGTGGCTATAAAAAGTATCAACTATATATAAACTCTGTTCCCAAAAATTAAGATCTAGAACCTGACCACAGAAAATGCTTAGTGTAGCTCATAAAACCAAAATGATAAAGTACCATATCAAAACACATAAGCTTAATAATAATTAACAATTTTAGTGTTTGATTACAAATTTCAAAATTTTATAATTTTTAATTAGCAATGCTATGAGTGGGTTATAAAAACTTTACATCAATTATAAAATGTGAGGTCCTATCATTTCTGATTGATGAATGAATGAATGAATGAGCTGATAGTAGAAGGTGTCAATCACTCTGTATCTGACTCATAGATAAAAAAAAATCACTCACATGTACATGATAGTCACATGCTTATATAACGGCAGCATTCCAAGGCTGGAGGCAGGAGGATCCTGAGCTCCAGCCCCAGCATAGCTATGTAGTAAAACCCAGCTAGGCACACCCAAGGCCTTCCCTAAATTTCCTAACTGGTGTATAAGGGACTGGGTTCCTCCATGCCTCTCTTCACAATGCTGTCATCATGTCATCTTCTCATTTCCACTCCACACACGATTCCCTACCCCACTCAGTGCTGCCTTTAAGTCCCTTTAGCCCATCCTTGTACTTTCCTATTAAGCGTACTCACTGTCCTATTTCCAAATCTCACTGGGTCCTGTTAGTAGCTTCATGACCTAAACACACATTACACATTTTAAACCTAAGTTCTACATATGAGAGAAAACATGATATTTTTTCTTTTCAGGTCTGACTTACTTTGCTTTAACACACTTATTTTCTAGTTACACCCCCCCCCCCCAAAAAAAGAAAACAAAAACCATAAAATGCTTCAGGTATTGCATGCCATTCTTATGATACTAATTTCTATTTTGTTCTAATTTTAGTATATACAATGCAATGTGGGCACAAGCATTTTTCTAGAACAGGTAGCCTGAGTAAGCCAATGAAAATACATCCTAAAGCCGGTCTATAATTTTAAAGCCTTACTTACTGTCTCTAGCCAAAAGCGATCAAGATCACTTCGTCTCTGCTGTTTGTTCAATGTAATTAGCCATCGTCCTCCCCGTTTGTTCTTCTCATCTTCCCACATAGGCTCAATACCATCCTACAAAATAAGAACACAATTAGAATCAGCAAGAAACAACACCAACAACTTTTCTTTTATTCCCTACACCCCTGCCTTGGTACGGCCTTTAAAAGGACACAAAACATAAGTGCCCGAGGCATGTGACCAAAGCAGAGTACCACATCATCACCAATTATCAAATCTTAAGGTTCCACTTCATCTGAAGTTCTGAAAATTCCCAAGAAGCAGACACCTTTTAGAAACATTAAAAAATATATATATGAGCCAATTAATGTCCTATCCTAGCACCTGACAAACGTCTTCATAAATATCTCATAGGTTTAAAATTAGCTGATGATGTCAGTCTACCCAAGTATATCCAGGAAAGGCTGTACAGGATTAGCAAGGCTCAAAGTCAATCCCAAAATGTGCCCAGTAATTAAGTCACACCAAACTGTTATACTAAGCCTGGTAAAGCCAACTGCCTGAATCTACAGCCAGTCTTTCACAAATACCTGAATGACCTGGTCCTGTAAGAAATATAAACAATCATTGATTAGGCATACCTTAAAAAGTGAGTAGTCACAGCCAGGCATTAAATTACTAGACAACTGGATATGGTTGTATAGACTAGGTAAAAGAAAATAATAATTAAAAACATAGTATGTAATGCAGGATTTGGGTGCTTACATAGATAGATACACACACACACATATATACACATACCTGGAAAATATGAAAAAACATGAAAGCTTATGTACAGTTTTCTTTTTGATCTAATTTTGAAGTGGACAAAACAGGTCTAAATAATGACTGCATTCAAGGAAATTTATAATGTAAATTACTACAAAGAACTATATGACATAACTTAGAATAAAGAAAAATATTTCTATACATTTTAACTCAACTCACACATGTGCATTTAAAAATACAAAAATAAACCACCCAGTCTGCATGGTTCAATCAACACTATCTCCCCAGCAAGTGACCAAGAGTATAGATAAAAGTGGTTCTCCAGCTCCAAAAATGGTTCCAGGCTGGTCAGCACCTGGAGGTTGAGGAGCTTGGGAACATGCCAGGCTCACAGTCATATACCAGTAGTTGGACCTGTATTTTTGAGCTATTTCCCAAATAGTTAAGCCATGGAGCAGTATTTGAGATGTTTGATACTTACTGCCTGAAGGCAGAAGACTGTATCACTTATCTCTTGTAGTCTTAAGAGTAAAATTGACTTAAACATTGGTAACAGTACTTGCCTGTCTCCAACATCAGAAGGGAGAGATTATCTTAGTTACACGTATGCAAACTTTCAACTTATATATAAGAGGCATGTTCTCCCATGCTGACTTTAACTTTGTTTAAGAATATTTTGGACAATTTTAAGAATTCTACATCTTTCTTATCACATTACACAGTATAGTCCTGCTTGAATAAGATAACATTATTATACATAAGGTATCTAAATGGTTCATAATTCCCAAACCACAACCATCAAGAATCGTAAGATTACACAGATGAGATTAAAGCAGATGGACTAAAGGGTTATTTATATAAAATCTGCCAGAAAGCAGTGAGAAATAAAGATGTAGTCAAGTACACAAGAAGGTAAAGGATTCTTTCCGATCTTAGTTACAATGCCCAGTAGCTTACACAAAGCTATGGGGATATGATCTACTAGAGGACAAGTTAGAAACAGTTATATAAACTTGGCAAAGCCAAAATATCCAGAGCAGGTGCAAATGTGACTGGAGGTGGGGTTCAAGACCCTTCCCCTTAGTAGGGAAATTAGAGGGCTTCCTTCTGTCTGTGTGAAGAAGGCTTCAGTTATTTAAGAATCTTGCAATAAACACAATTAGAGTACAAAAACCGCTTCAGGCTTTCAAGAACTCCAATTAACTAGACTACTACCTCTATCTGCTATTAATTAGCAGAACTTAAATATACTTGTATCATAAAAAGAAAATAGCAGAATGTTCTTAAAGGAGAAAAAGCGAATTCAACAGATTTACTCTATACTTTGCCTTTTTCATTCATGCAAGGTATACCAAATGTCTATTACAAACCAAGCATTGAAAACATTTAATACTGACTGTGCCCTTGAAAAATACACTGCTATGAATTATGACTACAATGCATTCTCACATGTGAGCAAACATGTAGGGAGTTACATGAAAATGTTAAGAATCAACAAATTCAGCATGTATGAACCTAACATAAACATACAGACAGAGCAACTTTGAGGTTGCTTAGACTCTTTAAAATTTTTCTCGAACAGTATTCCCCTATATATTCTTCAAGGAAATCAAAGCAAATTAACTTTGGGGATGAGCTGGGATGCAGCTCAATGGTACAACATTTTGCCCAAGTTTCTGAATGTGATCCTCAGAAAACAAAAACTATTAGAATGAAAACAACTGATTCAAAATTTCTAAGGCATGGGTGGTATATGTCTGCTACACCTTGAGAGGTAAAGGCAAGGCAAGTTCTAGAATACTAAAACATTTTCAAGAATTCAGCTACATCCTGTCTAAAAACACAACACTTTTAAACTTTCACTTTATATTCTATTTTTAAATCTATGAAAAGTTTATGATTGCAAGTCAACTTTTCCTAAACTGAAAACTAAACACTAAAGAAAAATTTCAATTACTGTTTCACAAATTACAATAAAACTGATAAATTAACACACAGACACCATCATTCTCTTGACATGTCTCTAAATTTTAATCACATCAGCAGGTATCACACTGAAAACTGTTTGCAGAGCAGGCTCTCCAGCACCCTGTTATGATGACACAAACCTATCTAGGTAACTGCACAGGGGAACAAATTCCAAAAATGTTGTCAAAAGTTCTAGGACAATAAGAGGGGATTCTCACAGATGAGGAATAGAGACTATTTAAACCTAGGCTTACTCTAATGAAAATGTTCCTTTTTTGCTGTTTGTGGGGATGCAGATCAAGCATAGGGCTTGTGTATAATACTACACAATCAAGTCAAACATTTGTGAAGGAACAAATGAACTTCATCTTTCACTGTACGAATGATGTAAGATGAAAAAATATGTAACTTATATTTTAAAATAAAATTACTTACGCCCAAAAGTCTTCAACAGTATCAAACTTTGAGATCAATCGAAGGTTTGCTTGCCAAGTTTTGCTTTTATCATTTTTAAAAAACCAGAGTGCCCACCTAAAAATAAAAAGCCAGTATATAAAAAAAGGAAAATAATTGTCAACCCATTCATAGTATAATTATTTTCCAGTCAAAAGGTAGAGATGTCCATCAGCATGAAAATGATATATCGGGGAAAAGTAATTAGCCTTCAAGAGGAAATCTGACACTCAGTATCACAAGGATGAAGTCCAAGAACATGGGACTATATGAAGTAATGCCTACCCCAACCCACTTACAGGAGGTGCTAAGGCATCAGATTTGGAGAACAAAAGTGGTGCCAAGGAATAGACAGAATGGTGCTGGCAACTTATCTAATGAACGTGTTTAAGATGAAAACAGGAGCCAGGTGGTGGTGGCAAACACCTTTAATCCCAACACTCAGGAGGTAGAAGCAGGTAGAGGTGGATCTCTGTGAGTTTGAGGCCAGCTTTGTCTACTGAGCTAGTTCCAGGACAGCCAGGGCTATTATACAAAGACACCGTCTCGAGGGGGAAAAAAAAAAAGATGGAAACAGGTCTAAGGAATAGCACAGCAGGCAAATGTACTTACACTAGCAGCCTGGTGCTGAGTTTTGACAACTGGAACCCATGTAAAAGCCAGTTTTTATTTGTCCTATGACCTCATATTTGTGCTGAGGCACGTGAAAACCTTTACAAATGTAGATATACACAAAAACAAATATTTTCATAAAATACACTGGGGAGGGTGAGGGAGGTTTAAGACAGTTTCTCTGTGTGGCCTTGGTTGTTCTGAAATTCTTTGTAGACCAGGCTGGCCTTGAACTAGGAGACCACTGCATTCCTCTAAGCTAGGACTAAAGGCATGTGCTACCTGGCTCTAAAATACATTTTTTTTAATAAGATGAAAATAGGTTTTGCTATACAATATAACGTGAATGCAATTAACATGACTAAGCTGTAGGTTTTAAAAGATTAAGAGGGGCTGAACAGGTGGCTCAGTGGCTGAAAGCTCTGGCTATTCTTGCATAGGACCCAGGTATAATTCCCAGTACCCACATGGAATCCAGGATTCCTTCTTCTAGCCTCCACAAGCACTACAAACATAATACAATATCATACATGCAGGCCAAAAGCCACCCACACTCATAAAAATAAATCTAAAGTTTAAAAAAGTAAATAAAACACAAAGGTAAGGTAAGTTATTGCTTGTACTTTACTATATACATTTAGAGGAACAATTTAAAATGGCAGTTTCTATTAAAAAAGCAAACTAGTTTTCATTTAAAGAGTAGATGCATTTTAGTTGGAAAAATAGTGCTTTAATAAAGAATGTATGTCAGGTCCGAGGTTTCGTCCTCATCATAATTAAAATAGCATTGTATATCAACATAACAGATTCTCTGCAAAATAGACAATTACAGCGTACAAAACAGTATGATAGCAGTCAAGAAAGTATAATTATTTAAAGAGAAAACAGGAAAAATTAACTAAAAGGAAAAGGGGGACAGAGAATAGGGAAAGCATTAAATATGATGCTGTTGTCAAACACACTTAAAAATAGTTAAACATATCTATAGATATGCTTTAAAATAATGCATGACAATTTCTATATAGCTGCATATACTTCTAAGTTTTCTTCCTAAAATAGTTTGTAGAAGCCTTATACATACAGACACAGACACGCACCACACCCATACACACCCCGTAGTTTCTATGCCACCAGCAGGACCCCACTGTTACTGGTCCCTTACAAACACTGTAGTTTTACTCTTCTGAAGTAATCTGAAGATTATTACTCTTCATACCCTTAGGTTTTCCATCCATGGATTCCAGCAACCTCAGAATGCATTTAGGGGAAGCACTTGCACCCATTCTGAAAAGGATTCTTCCCTGGATGACAAAACTGAAAAGCATTGAAACATCTACACTGTGAGAGGTAGTTATCCTCTAGAGGTGACTTTTAAGTTAAGGGAGTTGCAACCTCAGAAGTTTTACAACCATGCCTACAAACATTATGATCTCAGCTGCATGTGGTGGCTCAACCTGAACTCAATTCCAAAACTCAATGGCTGACGGAGGACAACTGAAAGCAACCCTGAACTACCTAGTGAGTGCCAAGCTATGTCGGGCTACGGTATAAGCACCTTTCTCACTAAACTCATACCTGTTTACATGTCCTTTACACATTCTACATGTAAAACACATCTACTGTTTAACAAAATACTGTTTTGAATGGGGATATAAATGAGCCACTTTTCCCCCAATTTCACTTGCAAGACTGAAAAACTATATATATTTATTTCTTGGGGAAAAAAGAATAAGCCTACTAAAGAGTTATGAGTAATTAGGATAAAAATTGTAATTACGGAAAGCTTGCAGTTGTTGCAGTAAGCTTGACAATTTCACAAAACAATGGTATTTCTGATGAGTTTAGAGGTGATGTTTGATGCTCTAAATGAAATATGTCCACATCTTTAAGATCTGCACAAATCACTGGACTATTCTCAGAGCCACCAATAAATCATGCTACAAGAATCATATAAGTAAAAAAACTGTTCCAAATATAAGAAAAGCCAATGGATTCCAATGTCCCGTCTTGGCATTACTATAAGAACAGAGCTACAAAAACAAAAACTCTAGAGTCCTCAGTACTACTGTTTCATGTAAAATGAGTTTAAAAGGAGCTGGGCAGTAGTGGCACATGGCCTGTAATCACAGCACTCAGGAGGCAGAGACAGACGGATATCTAAGAGTCTGAGGCCTGCCTCATGTACAGAGCAAGTTCCAGGACAGGCTCCAAAGCAACAGAGAAACCCTGTCTCAAAAAATAAACTTTAAAAGGAAGCCAGGTGTAATGGTGCACATCTTTAATCCCAGCACTTGGGAGACAGAGGCAAGTGGATCTCTGAGTTTGAGGCCAGCTTGGTCTACAGAGTGAGATCCAGGGCTACAGGAAAACCTTGTCTTGAAAAGAATCAACAGAGTTTAAAAGGAGGGGCTGGAGAGAGAGTTCAATGGTTAATAGCACTTGCAGAGGAAGCATGTTTGGTTCCCAGCACCCACATGGTAGTTCACAACTCCACTTCCAAGGGATTTGACACCTTCTGGCCTCCATTTGACCTGTATGCACATTGTACACTTGGAGGCAACACTCTCATACACATAATATAAAACCCTAAGTAATTTTTTAAAGTGAAAAGAGGTCACAAGATCAAATATCTGAGGAATTATTGAAAACAAAATGATCTAATCATACATTGGCATACATTTATTTTAAAAATTACTACATGGGAGCCAAGTGTTAGTGGCGCACACCTTTAGTCCCAGCCCTCAGGAGGCAGAGGCAGGCGGATCTCTGTGAGTTCAAGGCCAGCATGGTCTACAGAACTACTTCTGGGACAGGCTCCAAAGCAATACAGAAACCCTGTCTCAAAAAAAAAAAAAAAAGATTACTACATGGTAAAGTTGTACTAAGACTGGCAGGAAAATCCAGAAGCCATGGGGAAAATGATTATTTGCCTACATAAATATTAAAATACTTTTAAATCCCATATAATTCCAAAAAAAAACCTAATAAAAAGTAAATTGGAACTACATTTACCGATTTAATATTCCTACTATTTGAATGCCTGGAAATCAACTTGAAAGATAATTCAAAAAAAAAAAAAGATATAGGTTAAAAACAGACTCTCCAAAGGGAAAAAAACCCCAAGTGACCAAAAGAATATGAAAGTGTTCTGAAATGTAGTACTTCCCACTTCAGGCCGGCACCCACTTGGTTACAACAAACACCTCATGCACATGTGGACACACACAACAGTTCTGCAATGTACAGCACTTTTAACAAAGGTTAAACATACTACCTGAGAAAGCAAACACACTTTATACACACTATCCCACCCTGTCCCCCCACCCCTGTTAAGGGTTTATAAGAAAATACAGAAACCACAAAACTTATGGTAAGTCAGTAATGCTTCAAGTATTAAAACGCATTTATAATATTTTCCCAACTGGCATACTTTACCCAAAAAAAAAAAAAAAAAAAAAAGATTAGAACTTAGAGGAAAAACTAATCTCTCAAGAGTTACACTTTTCCATGATCTCACATCTCTCCGCAGTATAAAGGTGTGCTGGATTACTTCCCTCCAAAATGCCACCAAACTAGAACTGTGTTCAGACAGCTAAAAGCAGAGTTAGCTGTGTGTGAGTGTGTTTACCATGTGCACACAACGGACGAGTGAAGGTAGGACTGGATCTCCTGAAACTGGAGAGCTACTGACAGTCCTCAAAAGCAAACCAGGGTCCTCTGCAAGATCGGCTTAAAAAGATTTGCCTTTGGCAAATAAATACACAAACCAGAAAGGAACTGGGCACTCAGAAGTCAGTTCCAGTTTATTTGTTTCCAGGTTCATGTAAAGTTTCCATTTTCTTCCCACCATCAGTAAAGGAAAAATACTTTGCATTGCATAATCTGAAAACCCAGAAACTAAACCAGACACAGACTGGGAGGTATAGGAGAAGCTAGAGAAAACTCGTATAACAAACGACCACCCATCTTCCCGTTACACTGCTGATTATGAAGACCTGCTCTCTTAGTTCCTCCTCTCTGGTCTCTATGTGCCCACCTCCTCTAACCTCACACACCCATCTCTCCTTTCTCAGTCTGCCTTCATTCCCATTCTTGCTTTCTGTATGTCCTGTCCTCTGTTCAAATGCTCCAACCTGTCACCCTTCACCTACACTTCACTAAAGTCAGCAAAGAGTTGTTTAATTGTCCAACCCAACAGATGCTGTGAGACCTTGAATAAGCCATGTTCCTGTACCCCCTGGTCCTCCACTCTGTCCTGTCTTTATGACTATATCCCTTCTATAGTCCTTCTCAACAAAAATCTTCTGTGGGCTGATGCCTGAGCATATATATCTAAAACGAGTTATATCTCACTTCTGTTAAACCTATCTTGTGCACCACACCCTTCTTACCTGTATCAGAAAGCGGCTTACCTGTTCTGTAGAGGGTGTTTGATATAGTGCTCTGGGTTGGCAACCTCCTGATTAGACTCTGTTTTTTCCTCTTCCGCAGGTGGGGGATTAGTAGTAGGGGTGGTTTCCTAGTGGAAAATAAATAGGATTAAAAAAACAAAACAAAACAGCAATACTATAAACAAGGTTAATATAATGAAGAGCAGATAGTTTCACAAGACTGACTGCATACCAACCCTTGGAACAATCAGACCACTCTAGCTCTTCATTAAAACAGAAAGGCTTCTCAACTGTGATTTTTATAAAACTGTACATACCCTATTTGCACATTTTTAGATCATCAAAGATTATGCATAAAGGTTAATGGCCCCTCCAAAGCTACCTAAAGAATCCATCTCAAAAAAATTTAACCAAACAAGCCCCCCCCAAAAGGTTAATGACCCAACTTTCATAATATGCTAAAATATCATGGAAGGGTGGATGGCACAGGTCAATGGTAAAGCATGTGTCCAGCATGCAGGGGGCAGTGTGTTCACATCTCAGGCCCACAAAAGAGGTAAAATAGTACTCTATCTTATGGAGGTGGACCTGGGAAAGGTTTAAAGCTGATATAAGAAAAACAGAAATCAACGTTCAAGTGACCAAGCCAGTGGTACAGAAGGCCTTCATAACTTCATGACAGACTCACTGCTTGACACAACGGCTATTTGTGCTATCTGTGCTGATATATTATTTGATTTATTAAAGCTTCCCTGAGCTAGAGAAGCCAGGCACACACCTTTAATCCTAGGACTCATGATTAAGAGGCAGACGGATCTCTGTGAGCCCAAGGCTACCCAGATCTATACAAGTCCTAAAGAGAAACAGCTCACACAAAGATGATCTCAGCACCCGAGATCACACACCTTTAATCTCAGCATTAGGGAGGTATATAAGACAGGAGCAAGGTCTCAGTGTCAGGCATTCATTCTCCAGATTCTCCAGCTACACTGAGGAGAGGCAGAAGGGTCAGCCCGTTCAGCCTGAGGTAGTGGAGAGTTAGTGGCTTCACTATCTTGCTTCTCTAAGCTTCAGCTTGATGTCTGAAACTCAGTATCTGTCTCTGGGTCTTTTATTTTTCATGATACAATTTTCAACAGGCAACAATGAAAGAAGGTAGAATTTATTCTTAAACTTGAGGCTATTTTTCTAGTCATAATTAATATTGTCACTGAAACTATGAAAAGGAGCCCGGGAACAATTTAAAGTATTCATCACTTTGCCTCTTGCAGTTCCTCAGCCTACTAAAAACTGGCCTTAACAGTTAAAATCACCAAAGGAAGTCATTAGAAGCTAAAGCACGTGCCAGAACACATATGCACACCCACACATGCACTTTAAAGGGAAGTGCTTTGCCTACATGTATGCCTGTGCATCTCAGCATCACAAGAATACAACGCTTAAGGCCACAACAAGCTGCTGTTGGCAGCCCTGAGAGCTCCAGAACTTGGGGTCTCTGGGAGAGCAGCTGTCAGTGCTCCTAACTGCTCAGCCAGCTCTTACCTGCTGCTGCTTCTTTTTTTTTTTTTTTTTTTTTTTTTTTTTTTGAGATTTGTTTTTCATTCTTTTTTAAAATTTAAATTTTATTTTTGTTTTACTTCGTTTTTTGAAACAAGGTTTCTCTGTATTGATTTGGAGTCTGTCCTGGAACTCGCTCTGTAGACCAGGCTGGCCTCAAACTCACAGAGATCCACCTGCCTCTGCCTCCCGAATGCTGGGATTAAAGGCATGTGCCACCAACACCCAGTTATTTTTAATGTTATATGCACTGGTGTTTTGTCTGCATGCATGTCTGTGTGACAATACGGGACCCCTGGAACTGGAGTTACAAACAGTTGTGAACTGCTATGTGGGGACTAGGAATTGAACCCAGATCCTCTCGGACCAATGCTCTTAACTGCTGAGTCATTTCTTTGCGTCAATATTTTTTATTTAATTTATATATTCTTCAGCACTGGACATCAAACCTAAGGCCTTGTATGTATGAAGCAACACTGAAATATACTCCCAGTCTAACTACCATGACCCATAGAGATGCACGCTCTAATAGACCTCAACTAGATCCAATAAATACTAAATTTAAAGGGTACTTTTCTTAAATCAGCCCATAATATGTTCAGAAACTTTATTCTCTGAGCCCAGACACATCAGCAAGCACCTCCGAGTCCAGTACCATATTGAGATGAGAAGCAAGACAGGACCACCCAGAGGTTGTGGGCCAGTTAGTTTTGAGTATGAGATACACAGGTGTGAGCATAGGTGTGAGCATAGGTGTGCGCATGCACACACACACACACACACACACACACACACACACACACACACGCACTACAAAAATAAATAATCACTATTTAAAAATAAGAGGCTGGTCAGATAGTTTGGCAGGTAAAGGTAGGAGTTCAATCCCTAGGTACCCACATGATAGGAGACAACTGGTTCCTGCAAGTTCTCTTCCTGATACCCATGTTCCCCTTACATATACACTAAGTAAATATAAAAAATGCATAGAGAAATCATTCAGCATCAATTTTGCTTGGATTTTCTCACAACTGGATTACTAATGGCCAAAGCACTTAACCAGAAATTATGAACTTAGTAAATGAATAATTTAAACATTTATATAAATGAATCAAGGGCCTAAAATTTACATGTAGTCCACCACTCCTTAAAACAAAATCATTCTATTTTCTCATTAGCCAATTTAAGTCGTAACAGGCCAACCACTAATGCCATTTCCTCACTGACTAGATTAAAATAAACAATGCTGCCCAGGCAGTGGGGATTTCAATGATTTAAAAAAAAAAAAAAAAAGGAACAGTGGCCAGCGGACCTCGGGTGACAGTGCGCCACCAGAGAAAATGAGTGATAGAAAAGTGAGCCACCAAAAAGGCTACGTTCGGGTCCTTGGTCTTGTGGTGACTCTCACAGTATGGCTCTGGGAGTCCAACAGAGAACACAGAGTCCAGGCACTAGAGGCCTCCTTCCATGTTGGGGAAACAGAATCCATATGGGGGAGAGGGGGTGTTCAGCTTTCAGAAACCAGAGATAAAAATCATGTATTACAGAGTCTTATGAACTACTAAAAACAAATCTTGATAGTGTCAAGGACATCTATCTATGGATTAACCGACTCCAAAAATAAAACTGTACTCTTCAGCCTGGGGTGGAGGGGGGAGTGTTGCACGCCTTTAATCCCAGCAGCAGGTAAATTTGAGGCTGAAGCCAGCCTGTCTACATAAGAGTTCCAGAACAGAGATACCCTGTGGGGGGGGGAAAGGGAAGCCCACAAACACAAACAACTGAACTCTTTAGAGAGGATAATAATACAATCTTAAGCCTCTGTGAGAATCAAGCTTACTGGGGCTGCAGAGATAGCTCAGTGGTTAAGGGTTTTAGTTCCAGCACTCTGGAGGCAGAGGCAAGAAAATCAGAATTAGAGGTCAGTCTGGTCTACAAAGTACATTCCAGGACAGGCTCCAAAGCTACAGAGAGACCATATCTCCAAAAATTAAATAAAAATAAAAAGAATTTTCTTAATTCTTTTTAATTAGGATATGTTACCAGTCTTAACAACTATAATTACCACTGAGATAGAAATTATTCATTTTAGAAAGTGTTTAATTTATGAGTGTTTAGACTGTGTGTGTGTGTGTGTGTGTGTGCAATGTTCACAAAAGTTAGGCATCCTAGAACTAGAATTACAGATGGCGGTGTGGGAGCGGGGAACCAAACCAAGGTCATCTCGAAGAGCAGCCAGTTTTCCTAACCACGCTATCATTTTTCCAGTCCTTAATTTTATTTTTTTGAGACAGGGTCTCACTATGCAGCCCTGGCTGGACTGGAAGGAGATCTGCTTACTTCTGCATCCCGAGTGCTAGGATTAAAATCGTATGCCTCGACATATTGCCTCCTACAAAGTAATTGAAGGACTGAGGAAGACTCAAGACTCAATGCTCCAAGCTAGCCTATGCTGCCTAGCCATTTTGAGGTCAGTCTACACAACTTTGTGAAACCCTGCCTCAGAAATGTAGCTGAGGCTGACTTCCAACCGGCTATGTAGTAGATGATGATGCTCAGTGCTAGGACTATATATAAGTGCACATCACCATGACTGCCTTTTCCCATCACATCTTAAATGCCCATATTTTAACCAGGATTTTCAGGTTTGCAAGTCATTTGAACAGAAACATAAAGGCTAACACAATAGATTATGGTTACTCTCAAAACAATTTAACACATTTTTAATCTAACAGACAGCCTGCCCTTGAAAGGCCATAGTTATCAAGTACATTTCACACAGGTAGACCAGAGGAAAAAAGAGCAAAGCCATAGGATGGTATGTACTGTTTATCTAGACCATAACCAAAGTACCCAAAGTGAGAGTAGCCCATGAAACTGAAGAGTGGATGGACAGTATGCGGCAGAGACTATGAAGGCCGTGGATGTCAAGCCAAAGCACACCTCATCATTTAAGCAGTGGAAGCTATTAACCACCAGGTGAGAGAGATTAAATACCCATGGCAAGTAAGGGAAGAGAAAAATACCATCAGTTCAAGTGCAAAAGAGTAAACTTGATTTTAGATCAGTTGAATGTGTCAAATAAGGAGTTCAGTACTATACTTTAGGGATTCCAGTTTCAGTAAGCTCTGCACCAACAGCAGAAAGTTGAAAAGAAAGGAAAAAAAGCCAAGAGCAGGATAAATCTAACTGCTGCCCGGTGGGGGGGGGGGGATCTCAGCTTTTTCAATATTCTGTAAAAATTAGAACATGTCAACAAATTAATATTACAAACATGTCATAGTCCTAATATTATATGGCTGATTGTTTATTGTGTCTACCCCATGTTTGTGGTATTTTCTATAATAAATGTGATGAAATTTTAAATTCTCACTCTGATCACAGCAATTTTTCATCAGTTCCCAAAATCCTGGTAAGTTTGTTTGTGGTTTTAAATACTCAAATCTGTCACCAACTTGCAATGCGAAGATGCATTTAATCCTCTCCTCTGGCAATGAGGGTTAGCCCTCCAAGACACTCATGTGTCTACCGCTACCTTCACACCATAAATAACTGAAACTTCCTCTTTAGG